CCCCCCCCCCCCTCCTCCATCCTGCCACGTCTCCGATCGCGCCTCGATTTATTTATCTAATCAGACCTGGCCGGTCGAGTAGTGTGTTAAATGCTCGACGAGCGACGCGCCTTATCTTCGGGATCGAGAAAATCCGGAGACGCTTCTCGCGCGCGTGGTTTTTACGTAATCCTCACGCGATCGGCATCGGATAACAGCACTTGTCCAGAGAGAATAGAGTCATATGCAAAAAAAATTCTAGCTAAACGTACGATTTTTCTTTTTTGTGGCTTTTTTTTAAATTTACGTAATGATGAAATACGTGTAGATGTTACGCACATATGCATTAAATAATCGTTAACTGAGAGTCATAATTATTAATCATAGAAGGTTAATATGGAGATTAATATGGAAATATTGTTATAATCGTATGATGGTATAGCGTGCTGCTTTTGTTACCACCAAAGGTTTAACCATTCGCCAATAATTAAATTATTGAGATGATATTTGAATCTTTCATTCAATCAAATTTGATAGAGATTTTGCGTTAATAGACTGATATATAAATTACGTTCTTTTATTTGTTTCTAATTTTTGTTTTTCATCTATTAAGTAAGTACGTAAATAAATTTTTTACGTTTGATGTTTAGAGAAAACTTAGAGAATAATTTGGAAAATTTCCAAAATAAACCACAATGCTATTTTGTGATTATAGCTGTTAGTTTCTAGTTAGCCAATCATATAACGATGCGGAAAAATACGATTAAGTGTTCTTTGCAGCTCGCCATAATAAAGATAGATGTATCATAATCAAACTATAATCATGTCGAATTTACATATAAAAACAAATTAAGTAATTCAGTTGAACTTTTTTAGAGAGAAAATTAATAGACTTATTATATGAAGATAATTATAGAAACTACTACAAAATTCGTTAAAATTTCTAAAAATACACGAAAGACATCTTAATTGTGAATTGGGAGCTTATCTTTATCTGATAATATATATTACTAATGTCAATTAGCAATTTTATTAGGTACTGTATAATATTATAAAATACCATGGGAAAAGCTTATTAGATTATTTATAAAGATATATCATTCGTTAATTAACAGAAAATGTTGATAATCTCTAAAAATAAAGTACTCGGTTAAATTTAATTGTTTCTTATTGGAGGAGGGAAAGCTATATACACATACACACACACACACACACACACACACATATAGATATCTGGAACCAAACGTATATCTGAAGAGATCTACCTTATTATTCCGATTTCCACTCTTCCAGTTCAACCGATTAACAAGAAGCGATTATCCCAATTTGCTGTGTGAGTCGTTCTGTAAAGCGGTTCTGGAGTCACGGTTCAGAAAAAAATTAATATTGTTGTAACGAAAAGACAAAAATTTTAATAGATTGTGACGATGGCGAAGATTACCATGCGTTTTATTTTAAAATCTCGAGGATAATAAGCGCGTGTAATCTGGCTGGCAAACGGGACATTCTTGGCTTATTATCTGCTTCCGCTTGCAAAGAATCGATTAATTATATGTGTTAAAGAGGATTTTACACAATTTACTTAATGGTATTCTTGGATATCATTTTTTGTCGTAGGTAGATTATAGTATATCTGATTGCAATATATCTGATAGTTATATTTTTATATTTGATCATTTTAATAGATACTCGTATACACGCATGCATTTAGTATAATTTGAAATGAATTAACTGAGCAAGAGAAGCGCTAACTGTGGTCATTATATATATATATATACATATATATATGTGGAATAATATAATATATTTTTATAAATAGATATATTTTAAATAATAATAATCTCACAAATTTTAAATTGATCATGAATTTGATGCTGCCTAGCACTTTAAATCTGTAAAATTACCTAGTTATCTATTTTCCGCATTAAATTTTTCATTGATTTAAGATGATAATAATATCGACGATCAATTAAAAATTTGTGAGATTATTATTTTAATTGATTATACTGTACATCCGAAAGTAATCAATGCGTCGAATATATTCGACGCATATATTCGAAATAAAATTAAAATGTATATAGAAATATTATTCTAACGTCTAACTTTGATCATAGTTGGTATTTTTCTTATTTATAAATAATTTATTTATATAGAGGTTTTATTTTCTATAATATTAATTTGAGATGAATTTTATTTTTATATACAATATATATTAATATGAAATATAAATTATAAGTATATTCAATATTTAAAATTGGAAGGTCGCGAAGAATCATAACTTCCTGAAAATTGACTCTGTTTATACAAAATTACACCCATAACTTCCAAAGTGAGATATTTTATATAGAATATGTGATCGCGTAATTATAATGAAAATCGTTTTATTGGAAAATTGTTACGTTATTGCCTCATTTGTCAGCTCCACTTTGCTTTAATTAATTTTTTTCATAATTCACATGATCTAACCGGAATTATATCAAGTAACAAGTCTTATAAATATGCCTCGAAGTGTACGCGTGTGTGCGTACACGTGCTTCCTCATGCGCAAGTAAACTTGGCTCGATTAGTCGTCGCTAATTCTTGTGCCATCGATGCCCACCTACGATTTATGTCTCGTTTCTCTGTTCACAGCCTGTCAGTGAGTGGACATCGCTGAACGTAGTTGAATGGATGTCAGCCTTAAATCTATATCGCTATGCGGACGTCTTCAAATCGAAGGACATCAAAGGCAGCGATCTGCTTCATCTGGATCGGGAAAAGCTCATGGTAAGCCGATTATCTTAATTAGTTATTAACATACCGGTCGTCCATACATCTCAGATTAAGGTAACCAATGCCACTTACAGTGGACTGTGAACCGCCTCGAACGAAGGAACTTCAAATGTGGGTCATTCGTGATTATTATTATTAAATTATCATAATCAAGATAATTTTTATTTTATTGGTAAATCACACTCTCTCTTTATTCTGCTTTTACTATAATATAGTAATTCTAATAATAACAAACAAATTATATGTAATGATTTAATTTAATGAATGGTAGACATTAAACGAAGTAAGATAATGTCATGGAATCATTATAACATACTTTACTTAACTTCGCTTTTTTTTACAAGATCAATGCACCGATTTGAAAACGATGTATAATATTAATTAAAAATATGATATATCCATCTATTCACAAAGTGGTAAAATATAGTTATGATTGAAAATCACGAATTAAAGTAACCTCTATTAAAAAAAAATCAAGTGAAGGCTAAACGAGATTGATTTTTCTTTCAGTATTTTTTTAAATCTAAATCAGCGTACTACAATGAAATAGTGAGACTAAATCGATTCCTACGTGACTGTATATTAATCTCGAAACATTTATCGATGTAATGAGCGATAATACACTGTCCTCATTCGTGAGTTTATCGTCGACAGTAAATTATATATATATATATATATACTTTATTATGATATTTTTTGAATTTACCGACAATTCTAAAAGCATTGATGGTTTTGCTATGATAGCTGGACATTTTTTTCTTGATCAGTTAATTAAACCTTTTCAGCAGCCACGGTTTAGAGAAATGCGACTGTAGCTTATATGGGATACTTATTAGAACCAATTAGCAGTAAGAATTAATGTACCATACTAAGTTACTGCGTAAAGCGATTGCGTGAAAGACTGTTTATTTACTTTATTATCGAACGGAGAGATTTCTGTTCGGAGAAACTATTTAGCGAATCAAGTGATTTGACGGGGCGCTATTGGTTTTTTGTGATATGCACTAACGTTCACGAAACGCACAATCACGAGATAGAATCGTGCAAAAAGTGCAAATTAAGTTCCTTGCATTTTCACGTCCCACTTGATTGAAATTTAATTCTGCGACAAACAATCGTCAGCAATCTGTTCTGAGCTATATTCCTACTTTTATAATGCGCACATATTCAAATTCTTCAGGTTTAAATTTGATATATATTGCTGGCATACAAGCTCGCATGTGGTTATATTTGACTGAATATCCACCTTATAATCGATAAATTTTCTGTTATTTATTCTACATTATGTTATACATTTTTTTTTTATTTTCGAATGGATGAGAAGTGTTGTCTCAAAACTATTTTATTTTTATTTCAATTTTTATTGCCACATTCTGAAATTAAATAAATCCCCTCCCCAGTTATCTAAAAATAGGATAAAATTCGCTAATATTTTTATTTTGACTTCTTTATATCCCTTAGATATCTATAAATGTGCTGGAATATAGTTTAATACGAGTTTCACTCTAGTTTCATACGAATTTTTATACGAAAATCTGCTATTAACATACAGCTTCAAGTTCCGAAATAAAATAGTAGTAGGAACGAAGTTTTTTTTATTGCAAGTGGTAAAATCATTTGATGTTTTTTTTTTTTTTTACTGAATCATCAGTTCTTGGTCTTCGCTCGTTTCGGGCCGGCAGCGAAGGCGGAATCGCGCGATCGAAAATTCTTCGGCTAGTGCTCGGCAGAGACGATGACCTCGAGTTGAGAGTATCTGGACGACGTTTTCCTTGGCCCGTTGACCTTGTAATTGCCCTATAGCGTCTGCTGGTGCGCCACAGTCGAGTCTTTATCGAATCCCCCTCCCGATATGTATATCTCTCTCTTTTACCCATTCTGCGTCAATTTTTCTTTATCGTCGATCGCGAGTGACCTGCAGCTTTCGGATGCTTTCGATTAGGCAATTTTCTTCCTCTTGTCGTCGCGCGAAAAAGATTCCTTGCGTATCTAACTTATTTTCACAGCATTATTGTAAAGTCTAACACGCAAAATCGATACATTATGTATGGAAGAATATAGAAGGGACAGCTTGATTTAATGAGACCACTTTTATTGGCGTAGCACGTCATTCCCTGTCATGCACTTATCGCGTTTTTTTTTTTTTTATTAATTTCTTAGTAGCCTGCACGATTTGACGTGAGGTCTTTATTAAGACGACAAGGTTGGTCGCGATGATTTTTGTACATCTGTTGCGATTCCATTACGTGCCTATCCTATTTCCGGCAATCACGACGTTTTTTTTTGTGTTGTTATCAGTTTAAAACATTGTGATAGAATTACCGCATAATGCACGAAAATGCGAAATATGTAATTTACTGTGTGCTATGGAGTATCATTATTTATAACTCCTCGCGTTTTCAGTATTTCGACATAAGTAATGATATATTTATTATCACGTCTTTGCTATTAATATTCTACACCACAACGGAACATTTAGTGACATAAAAAGATTTCTTAATTCTTTGTATTGAATCTTAAAGAATATCTATACAAAATAATATGAAATATTAAATTTACTTTAAATTATTTCTTTCCACTGTCCCATTTAAGATAGTATTTTTTTAAATTTTTTATCTTCATATGAATAGTCCATTTTTTATACATATGCATTATGTATATATATGGAAAAAAATTAAAAAATGCTGCTCTATAAAAGGACTTATAAGATGGAGGAAAGAAATTGATTAAATCATAATATATTTGTTGTAAATAAATATTGGTTATTAAAGAGTTGAAAATTATTTTTAAATGTTAAGGATAAGATATGAAACCTATACTTTATGATTGATAACACGCTGAAAAAATATTAGATAAATATTGCATAAAAACTTTAGCTTTTAATATCGTCAGACTGCAACATAAAGAAAATTTTTTTTACGAAATATATCACAAAAACAACTTATTATAAGATGAACTTTTTAACTTTTTGAACTTTATTACAAGATGAAGCTGTTTTTATGATATTTTATATATCTGTTGATATATAAAACTTTTTATGTGTACTGATTAAGTTTTACTTTATTTTGTTCTCTGTTAATTACTGCGTTGCATAGTTAAAATGCTAAATAAATGCTGCCACAATGAAAATGCGTAGATATATAGTGGAGATATAAGTATAAACTTTACAATTTTATGCAGTTTTATGGAACACAATGCAAAGGCGCTTTTTCCTACGCCTGGTTGCAGGACACCGGTGATTAGAAAACTTGTGCTCATAATGATTCAGCAGAGCAGCTGAGATTATTTATAGTACGTTTTTATGCAAGTCTTAAGTATTAATGTTATTATACTGTCTTTCTGTATCATTAGTGAGTGAGAGAAAAATGTACTAAATTTTAATGAATATTTGTTTTGAATAGTACTGATATAACATTTATTTATGAAATAAAAATATTTGCTAAAAAAGATAAAAAGATATAATAGTTAAATCAAATTAATGGTTCTCGTATAAATAAATATATATGTTTATATTTAGTAAATATTCAATTGGCAGTATTCAAACAAATATTCAGTAAAATTTAGTACATTTTTCTTTTAACACATATAGAATACATGTTTTTTTTTAGTTAACGTTGAATGTGAATTTCTTCAAAAAATACTTGCGTCAAAAGCATGTAAGCGTGTATAATATTGATTACATTGCTAATGTTATTAAAAATATTTTGGTTTTTTTATATTTTTCCAAGTGTTAGTGTTAAAGCAGAATGTAATAGATCTGTTGGCACGTTGCTTAAAATTCCTCAAAATTTTTGTACTTAAAATAAGTTAAATATATATTCGGGCGTTGAAAAAAAAAGGCGGAGATGTTCAGTACAAAATGTGCAAGCAACGCGAAGAGATCTAATGTTAACAAATATTTGATTCGATACTACTAAGAATATTTAGCATTAATATAAGAGCAGAATGCAATGTAATAATACACATACATCTTTTTTCGCCGTATCTTCCGACATTTTTAAGGTGTGTATATACATATCAGGAAAGAAAAGCAGATAATAGCGAAATAAACTCTTCTTATTCTCGCCGCGCAGTAGCTACGCCGATGTAATGATCGCATCGTGCATGTGTTTTCCCCGCGCCGCATTATCATAATTATGCGAGAGGCCCGCGCGCGGCGTAACGGGTCGAGTCGAGACGGACAATCGAATTACATCGGCTGGCCGTATTGGCCCAAGTTCCTCGATGTTCGCCGTGGGAAAACGGGTGTTTCTTTGGACTGTAATTACGCCCGCATTTTCCACGGCGGCAGCGGCGGCGGACGGCGGCGCGAGGCAAGTAATTGCGCTCGTTCGTTCGCGCGGGCGTATAATAAAAGCGGTTTGAATTGCAAAAATTCACAATGGAATTGCGCCTGAAAATCCGTACGCGGGCTAAGACTAAAATTAGGGAACGTTAATTAAAGAGACCGTATCGTCTGTCCACTGATTTTGCGGTGGCGTTACTAGATCGTTGCGAAATTACATGGAACGGTTTTGCTAAAGTATCTAATTTAGCTTCGCTGTTAGATATCGAAGACGCGATGTTAATCTAATTCCTTGGGTTAAAAAACGTATTGTTATTTTTAACTTCTATGTGTATCTCAAAATTTTAACTACTTTATTTTTTATTAATTTTAAAGTAAATAATTATATATATTAACGTCATATGCACTTAATAAATAATAAGTAAATTTGAATTAAATTTATGTTTTTAAATTAAATTATTTAATTTCATTATTTTTTAGTTCAATTAATGATTTATTAAGTAAGAATAGTAATGATCTATATAAAAATAATTAAAGATAAAAATTAATTTAATATTATGAATTTAACAATGCAGATACACATCTTAAAATAATTTTGTTTTACTATACATCAAAATAGTTATTGAAACTTATTAACGAGTAATACTGCAAAAAGTCTTGACATTTCCGGTAACAGTAATTAGTTTAAGTATACATAGTTATTTTGATA